TTATTCTTTTAATCTCATTTTAATAGGAAATTATTCTTTTTATAATAATAAAATAGAACGGGAAGCTGCTAGCAGAATCACAATTTAACCACAGAAAAAAAAGCTTTATTACAATGATTCAGTGAAGAGAGTGTTTTACTTAAACTGAAATGCTGTACTCCAAATCTTATATTATAGTATATAATCCCACCAGAGAGAAATAAAACACATTGTAGCCTTGCAAAGAAGAATGACTACAATGTGTGAATCAGTCATATAAAAAGGGATAGGTTCTCCGTGGTCTGAGGAACTTAAGCTGTTTTGCTGAACAGCTAGGCTAATTTTAGAAACTCACAAACATTATTTGTAATGGAAAAAATAATTCTGTAAATAGTCTCTCTCCATCTTTCTTGCAGGCTTCCTTCAAGTACTGGAAGGCCACAACAATATCACTGCAAAGCCTTCCCTTTTCCAGGCAGAGAAATCCAAATTCTCCTAGCCTTTCCTTGTAGGAGAGGTGCTCCATCCCTCTAATCATCTTTGTGACCCGCCTTCAGACTTGCTCCAACACGTTGATATCCTTCCTGTGCTGGGGACCCCAGAGTTGGTTGCAGTACTCCAGGTGGGGTCTCACCAGAGCGGAGTAGAGGGGCAGAACCACCTCCCTCATCCTGCTGGCCACACTGCTTTTGATCCAGCCCAGGACATGGTGCTTTAAAGCTGCAAGTGTGTGTTGCTGGCTCGTGTCCAGCCTAAGCAGGGCTGCTCACAATCCTTTCATCCCCCAGCCTATATTGACATTGGGTGTTTCCCCAAACCAGGTACAGTACTTAGTCTTGTTAAACTGCATGAGATTCCCATGTGCCCATTCCTCAAGCTTGTGCAAGTCCTTCTGGGTGGCAACCCATCCTTCAGGTGTGTCAACTGTACCGCTCAGCTTGGTGCCATCTGCAAATTTGCCAAGTATGCACTCATCTTTCATCTTCTTCCTCCCTTCATCTTTGTCATTAATGAAGGTATTAAATGACACTGGTTCCAGTACAGACACCTCAAAAACTAATTTTCCTGAAGAACTTCTTTAGAGCAAGGCAGAGGTGTTCTCTCGCTCCACATTATCTATATAATGAGTTGTCCAGATACTACCTTTTTTAGGTATAACCATATGTATTTATACTTAACTTTATGAAAAGGAGTATGGATTACATCATGTATGCCTTCTTTGCAGCCCTAAATCATTGCTACAGCTACATTTACATTAAAATCTCACCTTCTTTGCCCTTTTTTGTATTTGCTTCTTCCACCTTAATTTTCTCAATTTAATTAGGTAATAAATTAAATCATAATCTCATGAAATGCACTAGCATTTAAGTACATTATTAACATGTTGTTTGACACTGAATAAAACACTTGGGCAACTTCCTAGTAATGTTCCAGTAATGTTCCAGTACTAGGAACCTACATTGCACTATACAGTTTATAATTGGCAACTGGATTTCATATAAGCAAGATATTGCACTTAGGCCTGGAAGGATAACAGCCATTACTTTCCAGTCTGCTTAAATTTTATTATTATCTTAAAATTTATTTTATAATTTAAAGTTGTAGTTGATTTTAAATCAATAAGTATAAATTTTCCTTATCCCTGTTGCTGACTGATACATAAAGGAGCCCTACATCACAGTGCAGTCATTGTTTAAAATACAAGTAATTTTTATCCAGCCTTTTCGTTTGCATTCCAGTATTTAATTAAGCTCCTGTGCCTCCATGCTAGAGTATTTCAACAGACCTATACAGTAATAAAATCAGCAATCAGAAACATGGTCAGCAGGCTGTACAGCCTTACCTAAACTGAATAAGCTGTTCGACTTATTCATCAGTAACCTGGATGTGAGAACAGAGTGCACCCCCAGCAAATTTGTTGATGATACAGAACTGGGAGGAGTGGCTGATACCCCAGAGTGCTTTGCTGCCATTCAGTGAGACCTGGACAGGTTGGAGAGTTGGGTGGAGAGGAACCCAAGGCAGTTCAACATAGACAAATGCAGAGTCCTGCACCCGGGGAGGAATAACCCCATGAACCAGTATGGGCTGACCTGCTGGAAAGCAGCTCTGCAGAGAAGGATCTGAAGGTCCTGATGGACAACAAACTGTCCATGAGCCAGCAGCTCCCTTGTAGGCAATAAGGCCAATGGTATCCTGGAGTGCATTGCCAGCAGGTAAAGGGACGTGATCTTGCCCCTCTACTTTACCCTGATGAGTCTATATCTGGGATAGTGTGTGCAGCTCTGGGGTCCCCAGTTCAAAAAAGACAAGGAACTACTACAGTGGGTCCAGCGGAGGGCTACAAAGACAATTTAGGGGACTGACCATCTCTCTTATGGGGAAAGGCTGAGGGACCTGGGCATGTTTAGCCTGGAGAACAGATGACTGAGAGGGATTTTACCAATGCTTACAAATATCTTAAAGGCGAGCGTCGAGAGGATGGGGCCAGACTCCCTTCAGTGCTGCCCAACGACAGGACAAGGGGAAATGGGCGGAAACTGAAACAGAAGTTCCATCTCAGTATGAGGAAAAACTTCCTTACTGGGAGAAGGACAGAACCATGGAACAATCTGCCCTACAAGGCAGAAGTAACTTTTGTTTTTCTACCAATAAATCCATTGGGGTGAATTGAAGTAAATCAATACTAGATGAGTATATATCAGTGTTTACAGGTGTACATATGTATACATATATATATATAAGGTTTATTTTAGAACAATTTGGTTGGGAAGGAACTTGATTCTTGCCCCTGGTGTCTTGGTCTGTCGGAGAGTGATGTGAGAAAGAAGTCCATTAAACATACAGTGTGGTGAATTTATATACCCTCAAAAACCCTTCTGGTACCTTCTTCGTGGTGGGGGGGGGGGGGGGGGGGGGGGACACACATGCTGTTTTATGGTGGTTTTTCAGAGGCTGGAGGTGATAGGTTTGCACAGTCACTTAGGCTGGGAGGTGGATGTGCTCCAGAGGCACTCCTGCTAAGAGTGAGGCCTTCTCTGGGGTTGATGTGTGCACAGAGGGCCTCCTTTGACATGGTCTTGCTCTTAGGAGATAAGCATCACACACCCACAGACTTGCTCTGGGGCCTCCACAAATCTAACAGGTTGTGTGCTATGGCCTCCTCCCCTCAGCCTTTATATTGAATATCCTGGCAACAGGGTTCTTTGCACAGTTTGCTACAGTAGCAATGTTTTAAGGCCATTAAAAAAATCCAATTCCTCACAGCTGCCTAGAGAAGTTGCAGAGTCTTGCTGAAGATCTTCAAAACCTGCCTGGAGGTGATCCTGTGCAACCTCCTCTGGGTGAACCTGCTTTGGCAGGGAGTTTTTGACTAGACGATCTCTAGAGGTCTCTTCCAACCCTGACTATGCTGTGATTTTGTAATTCTGTGTCTGGGTCACGTTTTGTTTTATATAATGTCTATATAGTGGAAACCCTATTCGTGGCTAACTAACTTTCCATATCTGTAGTGATACCTCAGTATTTGGCATTATCTCATTTCATGAATATTGCACATGCCAAGAAAGTTGCAAATATTTATGTTACGAAAGTTTAAGGACATTTAAAAAAAAATTCAACTTGCCTTCACATCCTTTTGGTATTAAAGTCATGAGTTCTCATCACAAATTCAATAAAGCCAGACTCAGAGGGAGCCATAAAGCTTTCTGTAAATAATATAAAATACTTCTTAGTTCCATAAAATGTCATCTCTTAGTGCCCTGGTACTTAGGTTAGAAAGGAAGAACATGTATAGAAAAGTGAGAACCACTCCTACAATTTCATGCAATTTCTGGTTTTAGCTCCATAAAAATGGGAACTGCAGAACCTTTACATTACAATTTTTTATGCACCAGTTGTTACCATAGGACTGAATTGAATCCACCTGACATCTCAGACAGGAATATGTTTAAGGAGATAACACCACGGAGGGGGCAAACACCTGCCATCTTTCTTGTTACTTATTATTCTATGCTGAGATGAAGATTTTTCACTGCAGTTATGTACTGACCACACCCTTTCTATATGAGGAATGCCGCAGAGAACAGAACAGCCATCCCTACCAATTACCTACCCAATATATCTATTCTAGAATAAGGAAAAAAAAAAAATGAATGCAGGCCTAAGCCCTGCTCTGCAACCAGCCAGAGTTTGGTCACAAACATGTTCCGTGGAATAGTTTTGGCTTAGACCTGCTAGTCCTTTCTCTGGCCAAGTTCAGACAGAGTTTTGAGATGGCAAGTGCCAGGAAGTGTTTCCTAATGCATGAACGGATGGATGGATGGATGGATGGATGGATGGATGGATGGATGGATGGA